CTTGTGAGATAATCTTTTGAATTTATTACAGCAATTTGATTATCAAGTGGCACATCAATGGAGAGAGGGAAACCAAGTGGCAAACTGCTTAGCTGGATTGGAAGCTAAAGGTCTGTCAAAACGTTTTAGCACTTGGACAGAATTGCCAAGGCTTGCTCGAGGATTACTTCGTCTGGATATAATGAGGGTGGCTTACTGGAGGAAATGAAATATAGACTAAAGTTATAGTGGTGTCTTTTGATATTGCAGTGGCTTAATTAGCATGTTTAGCTATTTTATTTTGGTATAGTGTCGTTTTTTCGAGTTTGTAATCATGGTTTTCCTCCGCCACCAGTGAGGGTTTATTAATAAATTATCAGAGGGATAAAAAAAAAACCACTGCACGTACTTTTATCAATCCTCAACAATCAACACACTAATATTGCTTTAAAAAAAACACAGCCCGTGCCTTGCACGGGCATTTGACTAGTATATAAAAAAAATTAATAAATTTTAATAAATGTGATAGGAATGTAAAACGCATATTTTGCCCTCCTTATTTTATGTGCTTGTATGATTAATTAATGCCAAAATATACTCATTACGTGCATATTTTGATTTAGGTGGCAATTCAACGGAGATGACATAATTTGAAAGAAATTGATGAAAAATGACCAAAGTGAAAGGAATTGAAAGTTCAAGAACTGACATGAAAATATGCAAAAGTTGTGTCAAACCAAATGATGAAGATTTGAGAGTATTAGAAGTCAATTGAACGAAGAAAAAAAGTCAAAGTGGTGAAATATCGTCAAAGTAGGATCACATATCAATTTCCAATCGAAAAGTTATGCATCGAATTTTCAGTCTCAGTTTGAGACCCATTTTTGACATGGAAAACGATCAAATTGGAAGATGGTATCTAAAGCAAAATTGTAACCCTTTAAGTTAGCTTTCAAACTCATTTTAAATCATCTCAATCGGATACCTGTGGAAAAAGTTATGACCAAAATATCGAACGCTATTCAGAGACAAATTTGCGCTCGCGCAGAGTCAAATTCTCTCACGCACGTATATGCATGAATTTTACTTACCGAGCCAAAACCAATGAACGGCGCGCGCACATAGGCACTTTTCGCAAACGAGTCTCCAATTTCCAAATTTAAGTCAACTAC